CGCGCTCTCCGGTCCAGCATCTCCCCCCCCTCCCTTTCTCAGCGCCTTTTTTTTTTTTTTACCTGGTTCAGCCTCACCACGAACGCACGAGCGGAAAACAGTCAACAAAACGCGGCGCGGAGGAAGAGCCTGCGGCCGGGGAAAGGAGGTCGGCGTTTAAAAGTTTTAAAAGGAACAGAACGAGAGAGAAAGACAGACGGTTGGACGACGGGCCTCCCGCGCTCAATCCACCTCCGCCAAACAAAAGAGCGCTGCAACCCCTCTACCCGCCGAGAAGCACCGCGCATGCTCCGCCCAGCCTCTAACCCCTCCCCTCCGAGGCCCATCGCCCGCGGCCTTCTGGGAGCGGATAGCGTTCTGTGTGAGTCTCACCCCCCCCCGTCTCCAATTCCAAGAATACTACAACTCCCAGGAACAACGGGGCAGGGGTAGACTATGCGCTCGCAAAGTTGCCCCTCTTTCGCTTTGCTCCCTGGGAGAAGTAGTTTTTTTAGGCGTTATGGTTACAAACACAACGCGAGTCTAGTATCACCTTAAAAACTAACAACATTCTCCAGGGTATAAGTTTTAGTTAGTCAGGTATTTGTTTGTTTGTTTATTCAATTTATAACCCACACCCTCTCCTCAAGAGAGGACGGGACAGTTCACAACATGTTGTTGTTGCTGTTCAGTCGCACAGTCGAGTCCGACTCTTTTCAACATACACAGCACTAAAACTAAAACTTAAAATAGATACTAAAACCGATAAATACAAATAAATATAGTAACAACAGATTCTAATTAAAATCCAACCGGTCATCAGCTCTGGCCCAGCTCACCCAACCTTAACTAAGCAACCCCAAACAGGTCTACTCAGAATCCAAGTCTACTCAGTGGGACTTACTACCAGGAAAGTGTTCTGTGGATTGCACTGTCAATGCTGTGCAAAACAAGGCAACCCACGCCCGACGGAACCTTAGTAGATCCTGCAGGGTACGAAGCTCCATTTTCTTCTTCTAAAATTTGGATTTGTTTCTAAAGTGGATTAGGATCGTCGTGCACAAGAAAGGAAAAGAAACGATGTTTAATAGTGTGGTTCTAGTGTAGAATATATTTTTGCATAGGCTTGTACTGTCAAATGCTGCTGCTTTTCCTGTTTCAATCTAAACCAATTGATTTCAATAGGGCTAGCCCAGAGGAGCTTCACACGGGACTGTGGTTGTTCACTATGGTTTCTTTCCCCCTCTGCTCCGTTCTGAACTCATTGAGTTCTGCACCTGAAAAGAACGTCTGTGTAACCCGAAAGCTCTCACTTTCAATAATTGATAACCCCCCTTGGGTTATCTGTCTTTCATCCTGAAGCATTTGTTTTCAGGGCTGTGCATTTATCTACTAACCACTATTACCACATCTTAAAATAATAATATTAATTTTGTATTCAGCCCAGGAAGCAGAACTTGGAAAGGGACAATGGAATACAGGTTTCATTTTAATGGGCCAACGGGTCAGGAACCAGAGACAATGAATGAGGTTAGGCTCGGTCCTAAAACTTCATTTATTTTCAAGAACAGCCTGTCATTTTCACTTTGCTGCTTTTACATGCTCTGCAATCAACTTTTTTCTACTAACGTACAATCCAATATGTTTTTCCTATGTTGGCTGGAGATATAGAAGATAATATTGTTCTACAGGAGGCTGTCAACAATTGCATTGTGTGAAATGAAAGGCTTTGCATCACATCGTACTTTGGGTCGCTTCCAGTACTCCCTCTAAGCTGTGCAGTCTTGTGAGCAAAAATTCTACTTGGTGAGCTACTGGAATTAAAGTTGTGAGCGAGCAGTTTGGCTACTGCATGAATTAGTTTGCTCTGGAGCCATCCTTCCTGAGCGAAGACAAAAATGTGTGAGCTGGAGGCTAAAAAACTGTGAGCTATCTCACACTAACTCAGCTTAGAGGGAACACTGGTCGCTTACACAAGCAGCTCTTGTTGTTTTGTCTGCTAAACTGCTTCAGTTGTTTTGGGGCTTCCACACATCCTATCATTCCTAGGGTTGCCAGCTCTGATTTGGGTGGAACCTGGGTAGGGCAGGGTTTGGGGAGGGAAGGGACTTCAGCAGGAAATAAGGCCATAGAGTCCACCCTCCAAAGCAGCCATTTTCTCCAGGGAACTGATCTTGGTCGCTTGGAGTCGTTCTTTATACACCCGTTTCTCTTTCCTTGCCTTGGGAAGATCTTTTCTAAAAGATACTCTCCAAAGCGGTTTTGGGGGGAAAGTGGAGGGGAAGGTGAGGTTGTCCATACCTACCCACCCATATCTGGTGCCTGCCACATTTGGTGCCATTTCCCTTCCTGTCCACCATTCCCTCTATCCACTACCAGGAAAAAAGCTTCCCAGTTGTGGTGAAGGAAGTGGCAGGTGAGAAAGGAAAGCACTGAGAAAACACCATGCAAAAGAAATGAGAAGGAAACTTGACGAAGTGCCCATGTGGAAGACATGTTGGCGTTCAAGTCCATCCTCTGATACCAAGGGCTCTACTGACCCCTCTGAAATGTAACTTCTGAGCAAATGACAGACCAGTGAGGCAGATCCTGAAGGGACACTGACAACTTTAGCAACTCATGCAAAAATGTTGACAGGGTTTCTTAAGGGGGTGGGGAGAATATAGGGGTCATGGCTTAACCCAGATGAATACCATAAATATGGGCTGTTGCTAGTAAACAAGGGCATGTGTCGAATAATCCTAAAAACATTTTCTTGGAAGTTCTATTGAATAAGCTAGGATTTACATCTGAGTAGACCTGCCTGGGCTTGTTTGCAGACCGTGCAATCCTAACAGAGTTTCACCTTCTAACCCCATTGACCTCAACTGACGTAGAAGAACTGCACTGGTAGACTATCATTTTCAAGGCAGGGACATCATGGTGTCTGAGGTGGAAAAATAAATGATTTTCTCTTGTTAATGTAATTTGTATTGATACTCAATATTGGCTCACAAAAGTCAACTCACTGTGCTATAGGGCCACTTTGTTCTTCAGTGGTCTTTAACTATTTGGGGGGGGTTGATTCCCCACTCCTCACAGCTGCTGGTGTGACCTTGGGTCAGTCACAAGTTCACACAGAACTGTTCTCTCAATAGCCTGATATTGGAAAAATGAGAGACTACCCTCTAGACAGGAAATAGCTTTGAAACTGCAGGACACTGCAGAAATGGACAAATTAACTATGTTAATTCATGGGAAAGATGAAACCCTATTCTAAAACAGATGGTTAAGAGTGTATAAATGGTGGGAAAATAACTTTATGTAAAAGACTCTGAAAATATAAAGAAAGTGTCAAATATGTGGCTGTATAAAATAACAAATTTCATAAATAATTTTTTTTTTTTAAAAGAACTGTTTTCTCAAGAGCAGTCCTCGAAAGAGCTCTCTCAGCCCCACCTACCTCACAGGGTGTCTGTTGTGGGGAGGGGAAGGGAAAGGAGATTGTAAGGTGCTCTGAGACTCCGAGTGAAGGGCAGGGAATTAATCCAATCTCTCCTCCTCCTCCTCCTCCTCCTCCTCCTCTTCTTCTTGGACTCAACCTCTGCTGCAGCCCTGAGCACACTCTTTAGAAAAAAAAGTTCCATTTTGTTCAACGGGACTTACAGGGTTGCCAGCTACAGGTAGGGGAACTCCTGGAGATTTTGGAGGGGGGGTGTCTGGGGAATGCAAGGTCTGGGGAGAGGCCTCAGCTGAATATAATAGGGCTGCCAGCTCTGGGTTGGGAAATACTTGGAGATTTGGGAGGTGGAGCCTGAGGAGGGTGGGGTTTAGGGGGGGAGGGACTTCAATGGGGCATGATGCCACAGAGTACACCTTCCACTGTGGCCATTTTCTCCAGCAGAACTAATCTCTGTCACCTGGAGATCAGTTGAAATAGCGAGGGCTCTCCAGCCACCACTTGGAGGTTGGCAACCCTACCACCAAAGCAACCATTTCTTTTTCCTGCAGGGGAACTGATCTGTGTACATGATGCACTGTTCTTATCTCTGATGAGAGGTGCCAAGATTCAAATCTGCCTAGTAGTCCTGAAACCTAATCAGGGCCGGCCCACCCACTAGGCTGACTAGTACTCGGCCTAGAGCGCAGCTCCCCTAGAGGCGCCGGGAGGCCCCTTCCACCACCAACCGCCCGACCCCAGCATTGTTTTCTGGGCACCCCTTACCACCACCTCACTTTGCTCTGTAGGGTTGCCAAGTCTATTTAGCTTGGCGGCGGGGAAACCTCGCCGGGCTCCGGGAGCCGTAGGTGGACATGTGCGCGCGCTGCCAGCATGTCACCAGAAGTGACGCTCAACATCGATCACATTGAGGGCATGGCCCCGATCGTCGGAGGGGAAACCATAGAGTTTTCCCTCCGACGATCAGGGCCACGCCCCCAACGTGATCGACGTGGTTACGTCACCTCCGGTGACACAGGCACACTGCGCTTCGGGGGGCGGAGTTCCCCCCGGGGCCCGATTCTGCGGCGGCGGAAATTGGGCCTCCAAAGCGGGGGTTTACCTGCCCCCGCCCCCACTTGGCAGCCCTATGCCTCTGCCGTCTCCTTCTCCGCTGCTCCATCAGGAGTGGGGAGGGGGGGGAGGAAGCGCCCCCTCCCTGCCGCCCACGTGGCCTGCAGGGCGGGGAGGAGGCAGAGGTGCTGCCTGAAGGGTCTAGCGGCAGGGCGGCTCAAAAGTGGGCCTCAGAGGTCGTGACGGTGTGCCCAAGGTGCCGGGAAGGACTCGGGGAGCTGCTGCCAGTCTGCGCAGACAAGGCTGCCCTTTGCAGTCGCCCAGCCACCCTCCCCTGCCAACGTGCCACCCTTCCACCTGCCTCGCTTTCTGCCTCCTGGGCCCCCTTGGCGCCGGGCAGCACAGGGAAGGGTAGAGAGTGGCGCGCATGGCTGCCAGGGCCTGCTGACCGGCCGTCGGGGGATCCAGTCACGTGGAGTCCCCCAAGCTGCCTGGCCGCCCTCCCCCACCGATGCGCCACCCCTCCACCCGCCTCGCTTTCTGCCTCCTGGGCCCCCTCGGCGCCGGGCAGCACAGGGAAGGGAAGAGAGCGGTGCGCATAGCTGCCGGGGCCTGCTGACCGGCCGTCGGGGGAGGAGGGGGATCCAGTCACGTGGAGTTCCCCAAGCCACCTGGCTGCCCTCCCCCGCTGATGCGCTACCCTTCCGCCTGCCTCGCTCTCCGCCTCGACCCCGGGCGCCAGGCACCACAGAGAAGGGAAGAGAAGAGAGCAGTGCGCGTGGCCCCCCAGGCCTGCCGACCGACCGTCGGGGGAGGAGGAGGATCCAGTTGCGCGGAGTTCTGTTGCTCCCCACAAGCCGCCTGGATGGGTACTTGGGCCGGCCGCCAGCAGCAGAGGCACTGAACCAGCTGCAGCAGATCGGGGACTTCCTTCTCTCCAGGCCCCACCTGGAGGTTGGCAACCCCGTAATTGAGCACGCGTGGGGGGGGGTGCGCCAAAAACCTCGGGCTGGCCCTGAACCTAATCATACATGAACACACATGAAGCTGCCTGAAACTGAATCACACTATGGGTCTATCAAGGTCAGTATTGACTGCTCTGACTGGCACTAGCTAGCTCCCCAGAGTCTCAGGCAGAGGTATTTCACATCACCTCCTGCCCGGTTGTTTGAACTGAAGATGCCGCTGGTTGAACCTGTGAGCTTCTGCCTGCCAAGATGCTCATCTCCTGAGCCATGGCCCTTCCCAGAAGTGTTCAGGTTGACTGTAATTGTATTGAGTGAAAAGGAATCACTTTATGAACATGCATGGAGTACTCTTTTACATTCTGCAGAGGAGGTCTGGCACAAAAATCTGCTGAAGGGTAATGCTCCCTCTAAGGTGTAGAGTCTTTTGAGCAAAAATTCTACTTTGTGAGCCACTGGCATTAAAGTTGTGAGCGAGTCTCGGCTACTATATAAATTAGTTTGCTCTGGAGCCATCCTTCCTGAGCGAAGACAAAAATGTGTGAGCTGGAGGCTAAAAATCTGTGAGCTAACTCACACTAACTCAGCTTAGAGAGAACACTGGAATCTTTTACCCAGCACCCACCCACACTTTGGAACGCATGTTCGTCGAGAACGACGTACTCTAGAGCCTCAATCCTAGGTTCATTTTCCTGGAAGAAAATCCTATTGATTTCAAGGGGTCTCAAGTCCCCATTTTTTAAAAAAAACTTCGATATCGTGCTACACAACAGCATTGAAGGTATAGGATGGCGACGTTTATTTGGGATGTCTTGAGGCCAAGAAAGGAACTGCGGTCTTCGCGCACGCAGCAGGCAATTTACAGCAGGAAACTCGAGCGCCCTGATAAAATCCCGACCCTGCGAGCTCTTCCCGCGCATCCTGACCCTGAAGACTACATTTCCCACCAAGCCTGCGGGGGAGGATGGTCACGTGGGGGAGAGCGCGCACGAAATGCATCAGGGCTTCAGTATTCTTAAAGGGGCCGTCAAGGCAGGGGAGCGTGCTTGGGGAAACGCAATTAAAGGAAGACAGGACCGTAAGTGAGGAGGGTGGAGCGTGGAATGGGGTGGGGTGCGAGAGAAGAGGGAAACGGAGCACCTGGCCGACACGGAGGGGGCTTGGATCGGGAAAGAGGTCCCAGAGGCATGGTATGGGGAAGGAAACAGGTGGCTTGGTTGCTTGGAGGGCAGGGAGGATTCGTGGGGCTTTGATTCTTAAGCCATGGACTAGGGAATCAACCTTGGGAAGGGCTGGGAGCGGGGCGGGGGTGCCGATGTGGGCATTGCTCAGTGTGGAGGATTGGCGTGCAGGGAGTCCCAGGTTGCCTCCCTAATATTGAACAGCTTCTGACGCTGCTGTTGGTGGGTTGCATTTCGTTGCAATAGACGCGTCTGGGATGGGTGGGTCGTTTTGTTGGAGGCTTTGGGGAAAGCAGCTGTCAGGGTTTGCGAGACCAGTAATGGCACGCGAGAGCTATTTGTAAGTCCCCTCCCCTCCCTAATTCTATTTTGAGTCCCAGGCGCATTTCAGAATGTTTTTTGTATTTCTTGCAGCTGTATGTACCTTGGCTTGTTCGTGAACAAACGCACGCAGCTCCCAAGCGCAGCATAGACTGACAGGGACACTCTTCTGCCTCCCTTGGCCTTTTCATGCCCTATCTGTTTATGATGCCCACCCCCACTCCATTTCTGTGGAGCTGCATTGTATTGAGGGAAGAGGTAGTGGCTCCCTGGTAGAGCATCTGCCGTTGCATACCGAAGGTCCCAGTTTCAGTCCCTGGCCTCTTCAGTGCAAAGGATCAGGGTTAGGGTGATGTGAATGATCCCCACCTGAGACCTTGGAGAGCTGCTATCAATCAAGGTAGACAATGTTGACTTTGATGGGCCAGCGGTCTGATCCATATAAGACAATTCCATGTGTGTTCAGTGTGTGTCCATGTGTGTTCAGGGTCCTGGAGGAAGTAGTGTCTTGGGCCGGGCAGAAATGTAAAAAGCCTGCAAAACCTGAGTCTGATCAGCTGCCGGTGATTTCGGTGTTGGACTGGGAATAGGGTTCAAATTCTGACTTTGCCACAACATTTGGTGACCTCAGGGTCTCTCATCCTAGCCTCATGAGGTGGTTGTATGGACCATTTGTTCCACTTTTTGTAATTAAAAATAAATAAATAAAGCAAGAAGATGATGCCAGGATTTTCAGCCAGTCATCATAAGGCTTATGGCATTAGCTCACAGCCTTTAGCAATTAACACCCAAAATACCAACAACACCAGAGTTATAATGCAACAATCTCAAGAACGATTTAAAAATCTAATATACATTACGATTTTATAAACAGCCATTCAGATCGCAACAAAAATTTATTTAAAACCAACATTTCATTACAGTATCCAGGGAGAGCGGATAACAATAGAGTAGCTATATTACCTGCCGACAAAAGTAAATGGATAACGATGCAAAGGGCAAAGTTTGTTGCATGAGGGATAAAGGCCTTACCAAAACCATCCACTATTAATGCGGCTGATGGATGCCGGGATTTGTATCTCTGCCAGTGCCGGGAGGCTATGGAATTCCTGGAGTACTGCAGTAAACGGGGCCTTGGCAACATCCTTCAATAGATGCCCCCCCCAGAAATAGCATCCCCCCCTTTATTCTGTCAGGAGCAGCTGACAGCACAGATCACCCCTGACCCTTCGCCACAAAATTCTGTAATTACATAATATACCAAGTGTTCAAAACACCGAAACTACAATCGGCTATTAAGCCCCCTATTATTAAGTGTGTGTGGAGAATGAGATGTTGCCCCGAGGGTGCTCGGTGAGTCTGTGGTCAATCTGGGATTTGGATGTGGGTCATGTCCTTAGCCTTTTCCTAATCTAGCTCTCTTTCGGATGGCAAAACCGGGATTATGGCATGTGTGGGTCTGCCTAGCTGAGGTAGAAAGCATGTATGAGCCGAGGGCAACGTTCAGGGGTTTGAAGAGAGTGATTCAGGTGGGTTGCCATGTGGGTCTAAAGCAACAGAACAACATTTGGGTCCAGTGGTGCCTTTAAGACCAAAAGCTTATACCCAGAATTAAATTTTGTTGGTCTGCAAGGTGCCCCCCCCCCAACTCAGACTTTGTTCTAAAGACAGCAAGTGAGAGAAGCACAAAGAGAGCAAGTGAGAGAAGCACTTGGGCCTTGAGCCTTTTTGTAAGTTCGGACTTCTCTCCTGGAATGCCACCTCCGGTGATCCAGAATGTGTGTGGGAGGGAAAGGGAGGGGCAAACTGGCTGCCTGTGCTTTTATTTATTTTTAACATGGATATTAATACTCTGCTCTTCTCTCCACTGAGGATCCAAAGCAGATTACTGTAACTTTTCCCCTCATCTCCATTTTCATCCTCACAACCAACCACCAGTGATAGCCAGTTTGATGTAGTGGTTAAGTGCACGGACTCTAATCTGGGAGAACCAGGTTTGATTCCCCACTCCTCCACTTGCAGCTGCTGGATGACCTTGGGCAAGCCATATTTCTGTCAGAGCTGTTCTTGAAAAAGAGCAGTTTCTGTCAGAGCTCTCTCAGTCCCACCTACCTCACAGGGTGTCTGTTGTGGGGAGGGGAAGGGAAAGGAGGGGAAGGGAAAGGAGTTTGTAAGCCACTCTGAGACTCCTTCGGGTAGTGAAGGGCGGGGTATAAATCTAATCTCTTCTTCTTCCTCCTATAAGGTAGGTTAGGCTGACAGAGAATATGATTGGCCCACGGTCACCCAGTGAGCTTCTATAGCAAAGTGTGGATTTGAACTTGGGTCTTCTAGTCTGACATTCCAACTGTTACACCATGCCAGCTGTCAGAGGAACTCTGTGCGTGCTCTGAGACTTTTTTCAGCTGTTTGTGTTTCAGCTGTTGACTATGGAAATGGAGTTTGGGGTTAAGCTCTGGTCAGGGGAAGGGCTGTCAGGGCGAGGGCTAACTAGTTTTAAATTTATTATTTTACTTATTTAGTTAAGTAACTTATTTGCTTCATTTATACTTCACCTTTTCTCCCCAGTGGGGACCCCAAGTGGCTTACATCATCCCCTCCATTTTATCCTCCCAACAACCCTGTGAGATAGGTAGGTTAGGCACCCTGTGTGTGTGTGACTCGACCCAAGGTCATCCAGAAGTTTCCACCGCAGAGTGAGCAGTTTCAAACCTGGCTCTCCCAGATCCTAGTCTGACACTTTAATCACTACACACACTGGCTTCTAGATTTAAAGGGGATCCAGGGATCTCTGTGATACTGGAGGAAGCAGCTGTCTTCTGTACAGATTGGAACACAGGCCTGTACTGGCAAATAAATGACATGGGCTTACCCTTCCAGAAAAAGGGGATGTGTATAACAGTAAGTGGCAACTGTTCCTTGAGGTATTCTCTCTGGTCCGTTTTGCCTGTGAAGTGGGCTAGATATATTGGGGACCTTCTTCTAAACATTAGGAAGAACTTCCTGACAGTTAGTGTGGTTCCTCGGTGAAACAGGCTTCCTTGGGAGGTGGTGGGATCTCCTTCTTTGGAGGTTTTCAAACAGAGGCTAGATGGCCATTGGACAGCCATGCTGATTCTGTGGACTTAGGCAGATCATGAGAGGGAGGGCAAGAAGGGTTGCCTCAGTGCTTAGTTCTCGTGGCCCTTTCTAACATGCCCAGGGAAATGCTGATCGCCACTTTGGGGTCAGGATCAGGAAGCAATTTTTCTCCAAGCCAGTTTGGCCAGGGATCCTGGAGGTTTTTTGCCATATTTTGGGCATGGAACAGTGGTCACTGCGGGTGGGAGGGGAAGGTATGTGTGAATTTCCTGTATTGTGCAGGGGGTTGGACTAGACGACCCTTCCAACTCTATGATTATATGATTCTGTTCTATGACTCTATGATATGTGGTGGTCGTGGAAAGTGCCATCAAGTCACAAGATGACTTACGGTGATCTCATAGGGTTTTCAAGGCAAGCAACATTCAGAGGTGGTTTTTGCCATTGCCTGCTTCTGCATAGTGACCCTGGACTTCCTTAGTGGTCTCCCATCCAAATCAGGGCTGACCCTACTTAGCTTTCAAGACCTAATGGCCCAGGCCATCCAGGGTCAGGGTTCTCAACGTGTACTAGTAGAAAAGAGCAAGAGTCCAGAAGCATCTTAAAGACTAACAAAATTTGTGGCAGGGGAAGAGCTTTCGTGAGTCACTGTTTACTTCTTCAGATCTGGCACGGTATGAGATTTCATGACTCATGATAGCTCATACCCTGCCACAAATGTTTTTAGTCTTTAAAGAGAAGAAATTGGATTTATATCCCGCCCTTCAGTACCCGAAGGAGTCTCAGAGCGGCTTACAATCCCTTTCCCTTCCCCCTCCCCACAACGGACACCCTGTGAGGTAGGTGGGGCTGAGAGAGCTCTTTCGAGAAAACGGAGGTTGCACTTACCTGTAACTGTTGTTCACTGAGTGGTCTTCTGTGCAGTCCCATGTGGGACTGCACAGAAGCCACACTGATGAACTGCTCGTGAGAGAACAGCTCTGAGAGAACTTGTGACTGACCCAAGGTCACACCAGCAGCTGCATGTGGAGGAGTGGGGAAATCACACCTGGTTCTCCCACCTTAGAGACCACACTCGTAACCACTACACCAAACTGGTTGTTTAAGGTGCTTCTGGACTCTTGTTCTTTTTTGCTGCTACAGACAGACCAACATGGCTACCCATCTTGATCTATCAACATATGCCAGTTCTGGAACAGTAGCTGAACTAGGGTTGTCAGCTCCAGGTAGGGAAATACCAGGAGATTTTAGGGATGGAGCTTGAGGAAGGTGGGGTTTGGGGAAGGGAGGGACTTCAGGTATAGAGTCCACCTCCCAAAGCAGCCATTTTCTCCAGGTGAACTGATCTCTGTTGCCTGGAGATCAGCTATAATCCCAGGAGACCACACCACCTGGAGGTTGGAAACCCAAAGCGGAACCCATATGTCCCTCTTACAGGTGGGGGGAGGGGTGGTAGAAGGGCTCTTCAGGGCATAGGTAGCAAAACACCTCCCTCACATAACTTGTTCTTTGCTTTGCCTGGAAGAATGCCAGGGGATGTTTGTTCTAGAAGAAAACAGCCTCTGTTCTTGGGTAAGAGAGGACCGTTCCTCACACCTCTTGTGAACCTCCGTGCAAGCCAGGGCAAATTCCCCCGTGAGGAAGGCAACTGCCTACTGCTATAGCTCTCTGTCCTGGGAGAGAAATGTAAACAAATCCAACAAATTTGGTTGAAAACGGCTTTCCCTTTGGCCCCCTTTCCTTCACCAGAAGAGTCCTTTAAATTGCAAAATGCTTGGAGTGCCTCTCACCGAACACTCATCTATTCACAGTCTCCATTGTACAAAATGTTTCAAGTTTTCTCCCTGGTTAACTTCTGGAGCAGGTGACTGGTGTTTACAGCTGCCTGGAATCCATGGCCTCTGACATTGGGTGGTGGTGAGGGAAAGGCTCCAGTCCGGCCCGAAGTGGAAGCCCTGAATCACACCTCTCCCTGCAGCCATTTCTCAGACCTGAGCTATTTTACAGGCTTGTCTAGAGAGGCGTGACAGAGTCTTTCTGTGCCTTGAGGAACTGGAAATCTGCCTTGTCCTCTCAGAGGTTTGAAAAGAAATTAGCAGAGTACATCCAGGTTCATATCCATCACAATGCCCCTCCTGGCGCCCTGGGAGGAAAACAGCAGTAATGGGTGGCCCTTCTTAAGAAGAGGGTGTGAGGAATCAGATAAGAGTTGCCAAGTACTTTGCAAGCTATTTAAAAAGGTACTAGAGAAACAATTAGTCAGCCAGATGAGCTAAGTGAGTGCAAGGGACCCTTTTAGGTACGTATCTTGCCCTTACCTCAAGGGACAAGGAATCATTTAGAATAGTTAGTAGCATAAACTATTCTGTGACTTTTAAATGTTACTGCACTAAATTCAAGGAATTTTCTAGTCTTACTCAAGCAGTGGAACAAAGTTTGAGTTTAGTGGCATCTTTAAGACCATCAAAGTTTAATTCTGGGTATAAGCTTTTTTTTTGCACACGAAAGCTTATACCCAGAATTAAACTGTGTTGGTCTTAAAGGTGCCACTGGACTCAAACTTTGTTCTGTTGTTTCAGACCAGCACGGTTACCCCACCTGAATCTCTCCAGTCCTACCCAAGCAGTAAATGAAACCAGGATTCAAGCACCCATCAGATTTCTTTCAGATACATGTAAACTCTCCCGCATACTTAACATTATATCCTTCTAAATAATCTAAGGTATATGGATGTAGATCAAGATGGGTAGCCGTATTAGTCTATCTGTAGCAGTAGAAAAGAACACCTTAAAGTCCAGGAACACCTTAAAGACTAACCAAATTTGTGGCAGGGTAGGAGCTTTCGTGAGTCACTGCTCACTTCTTCAGAATGTGGATGTGTGATTCCAATTTAGATTCAACTTATTGCAGATGAAATTGGCTTCTGTGTGGTTTGTGCTCCTTCAGCCAGTGCAGTGTAGTGGTTAAAATGGAGGACTAGGTCCTGGGATATTTGGGTCTGGATCCCCACTCTGTTATGTCAGCTTGCTGGGTGACCGCGGGCCAGTCACTCTCTCTCAGCCTAACCTACCTCATAGGGTTGTTGTGAGGATAAAATGGAGGAGGAGCGAATGATTCTTTATTCTGCTTTAGGTCCCCATTGGGGAGGAAAGTGAACTGTAATATTTTGTAAAAAAGAAGAAGAAGAAGAAGCGGAGGTAAATATCTTTTAAAAACTCCAAAAGCTGAGGTAACATTTTGGAGTTGGCTCTGTGTGGTAGTCACGTGGATCATGTGGTAAGTCCATGTGGCAACCTTGGACTTCCTTGAGACATTTGACATTTACCACACTTTCTAGCAGCCTTACAAGGGATCCCATTCAAGATGTTTAAGGCTCACTAACCCTACAGATGCCATTTCCCACAGCTCCCATGGGTAGGGCTGCCAACTTTCAGGTGAGGCCTGGAGATCTCCTGCTATTGCAATTGATCTCTAGACAACAGAGATCCATTCTGGAGAAAAGGCTGCTTTGGAGGGTGGACTCTATGGTCCCTCCCCAACCCCACCCTCCCCAGGCTCCACCCCTAAAATCCCCAGGTATTTCCCCACCCAGAGCTGAAAACCCTACCCATGGAGGTGTTCTAAAGAGGCTCCCCTGGTAGGGCGCTGGACCAAAGAGATGTGTGTTCAGATTCTGACTTGCCATGAAACTTACTTGGTGATCTTAGTCTAGAACTAGGACCATTACAACATTTCTTGCTTGCTTGCCTGCCTGCCTGCCTGCCTAAAACCATGCTTGCCTTAAATCTACTGGTTGATTAATCAGGGGCACCTTACTGGGTAGGCTGAGAAACAGCAACTGGTCCAAGGCCACCCAGTGAGCTTCCCTTTCAGACTGGGGATCTGAGCTTGAGTTTCCCAGATCATCATAATAATAATAATAATGACGGAGCCAAGCCAGAAGACGTCTACACCAGGCAGTGACGGCGTGTGCAATTAAAATGAATATATGTTGTCTTCCCTATCCCCTACAAATATTGTTAGTCCCTTGTCTATATTGAGTAACTGTACATCGCTTTGAGCCCACTGGGGAAAGCGATTAATAAATGGAAAGTATTATTATTATTATCATAATCCAAAGCCCTTACAGTTGGCTCCAGTTTTGCTTAATAATCTCGCTGATGGTATTATAAATGTCATCAGAGCAAGTCCGGCCGTGACATTTTTCTTCCAGAGGAAGATTGCTCTAGAAGAAATTGCTCTGAATGGGCAATTTCCTCTTCAAGGGAATGCCTGCCTGTGTTAATTTATCCTTTTCCCTCCCCAACAGATGCTTCTCCTTGGGCCGTTGATGTAGGATGTTAGGATATCCAGACCAAGAGGTAAGCCCTTGGGCAGTAGCAGATCTGATTCCCTGACCTCAGTCTCTTGTTCCCCGCTCCCCCCATCAGAAATGGGGAAGCTGCATCTGGAAATTCAAACTGGGTATGAAGTGAGGGGGAGCTGGGCACATTCAGGGAGAGGTGGGCCGATGGAGAGCAAAGCCACCTTTTGGCGCATGTTCTCCCGTCACTAAAGTGAGAGCGCAAGCCATACCTTCTCTCAGGCTGCTTCCACGAGGGTGTTTTTCTTAGCCCTGCATCTTCAACTGTAGGCAGGGTTTCTTGGAGCATCCACACGATATCATCCTCCAATCATCCTCCTTACTTGGTTTAGGGGGAAGGGGCTGTGGCTTAACAGTAAAGCATCTCCTTGGCACACAGAAGGTCCCAGGTTTGATCCTCGTCACCTCCACTTAAAAGGATCTCGTAGTAGGTGATGTGAAAGACCTCTGCCTGAGGCCCTGGAGAGCCAGCAAAAAAACCCCCTCCAGCAGTGGTGGCCAGGTGGCAGGCAAAAGAAGCTCTAAAGGAAATTCGAGAGCCAGTTTGGTGTCGTGGTTAAGTGCGCGGACTCTAATCTGGGAGAGCCGGGTTTGATTCCCCACTCCTCCACTCATGCCTGGCTGGATGACCTTGGGCAAGCCGTAGTTCTGGCACAGCTGTCCTTGAAAAAGAGCAGTTTGTGTCAGAGTTCTCTCAGCCCCACCTACCTCACAGGGTGTCTGTTGTGGGGAGGGGAAGGGAAAGGAGTTTGTAAGCCGCTCTGAGACACCTTTGGGTAGTGAAAGGTGGGGGATAAATCCAATCTCTTCTTCTTCTAAAGGAGAACACAGAGAATACCCCCACATGGATGTGTTTGTAGTGGTGATGTTCGTAGTGGTGATGAGTGTGCAACAGGGAATCACCTCCCTGTGGTGGTGGCTCCAGTTGATGTTAAGTGTGACAAAGCTAAAAGAGAGCGAGGTCACCTGTGGGGAGCTTCAGTGATGACACAGTCAGACCTTCGACAGGGTCCATGCCCCGGAAGAAGAGTAGAAGGAGAGTTGGTTTTTTATACCATGCTTTTCTCTACCCTAAGGAGTCTCCGAGTGGCTTACAGAGCGGCCTTCCTCTCCGTGGGGCTGAGAGAGTTCTGAGAGAACCGTGGGTGGCCCAAGGTTACCCCGCTGGCTTCATGGGGAGGAGGAGCGGGGAACCAAACCCAGTTCTCCAGATCAGAGTCCACCGCTCTTAACCACCACATCACACTGCCTCCAAATCCATACGCTTTCTGCTGTTTCTCTGCAGGCATGCCCCACTCCAGAGAACCAAAGGGCTGGTGGGGACATACCACTGCTTTTGCCATGTAGGCTGCCTGGGCGTAGCTGTGGGCAAGGTGTGGTCTTCGGGATGTGTTGCCACAGTCCATGCTCCCAGTATTTGTTCAGCTGGTTTTTCGCCTTGGTCACTGCAGAACCAAGTGCGGAAGCCCACTGTTGGGCTGCTGTACCTCAGCTCGTGCTCTCCCTCGGATTGTCTATGGTTCAAGTCCTACCTGACCAGGGACCAGTAATGGCTGTACTCTTGCTATTGTTATTATTAGCAGGGCTCTTTTTGTAGAAAAAGCCCAGCAGGAACTCATTAGCATTATAGGCCACACCCAACAGCAGGAACTCATTAGCATATTGGGCCACACCCCTGACAGCACCGCTCATTAGCACATTAGGCTGCACCCCCATGTTACCAGAAGTGTGGTCATCCAGCCACAGCCACCTTTTGCTTCTTATTCTGTTTACCTTGTTTGTTGTCAAAACTCAGGGCCTTTTTGTAGCAGGAACTCCTTTGCATGTTAGGCCACACACCCCTAATGTAGCCAATCCTAATGAGTTTCTGCTGTTGGGTGTGGCCTATTATGCTAATGAGTTCCTGCTGGGCGTGGCCAACTTGGGAGCCAGCCGGAGCTCCGTTCCTGTGCGTTCCTGCCCCAAAATAGCCCTGATTATTAGCATGTTGGCCATTCTGGCTGTGTGGTTGTAAACGACATATTCTTCCTTGGTTTGTGCCCAGGAAGCTCTACCAGCCCTCGGGCAAAGGGAAGTCACATACCTGACATATTGTTCTTGTTAGACAACCGAAAGGGACGTTTATGTATGGAGACATCGGGCAGAGTTTCTCCCCCTCGCTTTTATAACACAATTGTTTCTGTAAGAATTTACATCCTGCTTCTTCATTGCATGAAGCCCGTTAAAACTCATCCACAGTCAACACGATCATAAACAAGCATAAGATCACAGGAAACGCAGGCCACGAAACGAACACAAATGCCCCCCCACCCAACCAGTCACCTGTTTTTTTTGCTATAACCTCATTAAATCTTAGAAAATCAAAAAATAAAACAAAGCCTCAGAACGGGCACAAAGTTCTGGCTGCACACATGTACATCAGGCGGTCTCAGCTTCCAAATGGAGCCCAGAGTGCCTTGCATGACCTTGTGACTCTAACCAGAGATTTAGAATCTCTGTAGTCACCTCCTTTGAAAAACCATTGGGGGGGGGGCTATCCTAAAGAACGGATCCCCTGCAGGTAACACCATGTCAATCTCAAAAAATGGCTTGAGGGAAAGGAGCGTCCCTGAATTGAATTGTCTCTTTCCAAACGTAATTGCCGCAAAGGCAAATAATTTATGGAACTAATTACTGATGTTGTAGCTGGAGCTGCTAGCTTAAGGGGCTGTAAACTGTGTCTGTAAAGTGCTATGTCGTCTCAGCTGACTGTGAAGTCGCGGTAACCCCATAGGGTTTTCAAGGTAAGTGATACAGCAGCGGTGTTTTGCCATTGTCTTCCTCTACAAAGTCTTCCTTGGTGGTCTCCCACCCAAGTACCAACTCTGCTTAGCTTCTGAGATCTGACAAGAACGGGCAACACTATACCATTCCACACACCCCACTATAAATTAGGGTTGAACAAATTCATGGTGGATTAGTCTGTTGGTGAAGACAGCTGAAAGGACCCTCCATGTTCAGAACCTCCACTTCACTTCTGAGTGCCAGGTACTAGGGGCAAACCATGCAAAGAAGGCTGTTGACTTCATGCTTTGTTTGAGAGCTTCCGTGGGAGCATCTGACTGTCCTTTGAGAAGGAAGGCTGACTAGATAGACCTAAGGATGCCAGCCTTCAGGTGGGACCTGGGGATCCCCTGGAATTACCACTCATCTCCAGACAACATCAGTTCCGCTGGAGAAAATGGATGCTTTGGAGGGTGGACTCCATGGCACTGTAATCCACCATGGTCCCTGCCCTCTCTAGGCTTCATCCCTAAATCTCCAGGAGTTTCCCAACCTGGAGCTGGCAACCTCCATCCTCCACTGATGGCCAGGAGGGACCTGGCAACCCAAGATAGACCTTTGGTTGGATCCAGGGAGTCTTTTCCTAATATGTTTGTGGATTACCTTCTTCAAAATGGATGGATCAGCTCTCTTACCACAGACTGCCAGAAGACTGGAGAGCAGTTCTGAGGCGGGAAATGTTTGAATATGATCTTTTATTTCCCCCTTCTGTCTTCCCTCCTAGGAGCTGACCACCGTGCGTGTTCAAGATCCTCGTGTCCAGAACGAGGGTTCCTGGAACTCTTACGTGGATTACAAAATATTTCTCCATGTAAGTGTGGGAAAGCGGAAATGCTACAGTCAGAGGATGTCAAAGTAGAGCAACTAATATGTTTACTGTGCAAAAAGTCTCCAAAAACAGCTGGTGCTTTGGGTGGAATAAAATAACTTGGGAATGGGTAGCATACTAATTTCTTGGGAGGAGAGGGGATTTGAATTGTAGGGTTTTTTGTAGGGAAAATATATTCTTCTTTCAACAAAATATAAAATCTTTGGTCATCTATTGAAATGGGTAAGGAATGTGTTTAAGGCCATAGTATGTCACATGATGGAACTGGTTTGTGGAACTCATTGCCACAGGTTGTAAGGTGCACTAGCATAAACTGCTTTTAAAAAAGGATCATGTGCCTCGGCGTTTAGTAATGCCAGCCACATGACCACAGAAACATCTTTGGACAGCGCTGGCTGGGCACAGTTGCTAGCTTCAGTTGTCTCCTTGGACCTGGACAACTCTACTAAATTTTAATCTGCATGGGATAAGGCTCTTGTGCAGCTGGGACCAGTGTTCCCTCTAAGCTGAGTTGGTGTGAGCTAGCTCACAGTTTTCTAGCCTCCAGCTCACAGATTTTTGTCTTCGCTCAGGGAGGAGGGCTCCAGAGCAAACTGATTGATGCAGTAGCCAAACGGCTTGCTCACAACTTCAATGCCAGTAGCTCACAAAGTAGAATTTTTGCTCACAAGACTCCACAGCTTAAAGGGAACATTGGCTGGGACTGGAATCCTAAGCACAGCCGCAGCTTTCTAAGCCCAAGCGTTCAGAAGGGTATAGTCTGCTTAGAACTGTGCTTGGACTTCCTTTTACAAGGAAAGGATGAGTCAGCATTTTCTGTCTGCTTCATTCTATTGCATGCACACCAAACCTTATAACCAGATGTAAACTTTGTTGGTCTTAAAGGTGCCACTGGACTCAAACTTTGTTCTGTTGCTTCAGACCAACACGGCTACCCCACCGGTACAAACCACAATACCAACTAGGATGGCCAGGTCTGGGTGGGAAATAGGGCTGCCAAGTCCCCCGGGGGGGGGGCAGGGTTTTTCCCGCTGAAAGGGCCCCCAACCCGCCGGTCCAGATCAGGCCGGGGGGGGGAACCCCACCCCCAAAGTGCCTGGTTCGGGCCGATGTCATCACACCGGGCAACGCTCTAGCAATCAGCCTGAAAACTCTATGGTACCATAGAGTCTCCAGGCTAATTGCTAGAGCGTTGCCCGGCGACATGCCCAACGTGATGAGTGACTCTCCGGGCCGGGACCAACTCTCCCCTGCTGTGACAGGTAAGTCACTTGGCAACCCTAGTTGGAAAGTACCTGGAGACTTTGGGGTGGATCCAGGAGAGGGTGGGGTTTGGGGAGGGGAGGGGCCTCAGCATGGTACAATGCCATGGAGTCCACCCTTCAAAGCAGCCATTTTTCCCAGGGTAGCTGATCTCTGTCAGCTGGAGATCAGTTAGAAAAGTGGGAGATCTCCAGGCCCCACCTGGAGGCTGGCAACACCAACATGTTAATGGGATGCTATCTGGGCTGCCTTCAAACCTGCACAGACCACAAGCCATCCCAAGTGGTTATATTGGAGAGAAAAGCAAAGCCCCTAGTCGTAGGCCTCGTTCTTCAGAGCCAAGTGTTTATAATACTGGTTTGGTTTTAACATAGCAGCCAGCAGAGGGAGCCAGAGTTAGAAAGAGACGAGGGAGACCCTGCAATAAGGTATGTTCCTCCTCTCTTTTATACAGACCAATAGCAAAGCTTTCACTGCCAAGACATCTTGTGTGCGCAGACGGTATCGGGAGTTTGTGTGGCTGAAGAAACGGCTACAGAAGAATGCTGGATTAGTGTAAGTGTGAAACAGCAGCCTTATTATTAGTATTTTTTAAAAGCCTGCTATACCCCAAAGCTAACTGTTTGGAGAGGTCAAGATTCTGCCCCCTCAGTTTAGAAACCTCTGCTTCTGGAGTGACTCTGCCTTTATTCTCTGCATAAATCTCAATGGTGAACACAAAGCTTGATAAAACTATGGGAGACACACATACACATGTGCATGTGTGTCTTATGTGCTTGCCTGGAAGTCATGGTGACTTCTGGCGACCCCTGCTGGGGTCCTGGACATTTTTCAGAGAGGTGGCTTGGGTGGCCTGCCTCTGCATCCCGGCCCTGGTATTCCTTGGAGGTTGCCCTTTGAAGTACTTGCCAGAGTCAGCCTTGCTTAGTTTCCAAGATCTGACGAGATCAGGCTTGTCTGGGCTATCCAGGTCAGGGCTACGGAAGACTTCTTGTGCGTACTTGAGTGGAAGCTTCCAGAGCAATTTGTTGCACCATTGCCCATGCAATCCAAAGCAGAGTTACAGCATTCTAAGTCCACTGAGGTCGGTGCACTTGGAAGAGAGGATCCTTACTGTGCACAAAGCTTGAGATAGCACAGACCTGTTTTGTAAGAAGTGAACAGTAGGGATGGGCATGAACCGGCTGACAAACGAAAGCTGGTCATGAACTTTGGCTGGCTCACAAAGCAGTGTTTGCAAACTGAAGAACCTCCATGAACTTCCATGAATTTTGATGCAGTTTGTGGCAGTTCATGAAGTTTGTGATGGCTCTTCACAAAATCTCCCTGTCACTCAGCTATTTGGTTTAAATGGCTCCCAGCTGCGGGGAGCAGAAAGTAAGGGTTTAAACTTTAAGTGGCTCACAAACTGATATGAACTGGTTCAGTTTTGAACCAGCATATTGGTTTGTGGTTCAGCTGTGAACCGAACCACAAAAATGGAGTTCATGCCCATCCCTAGTGAACAAGTTGAAACTGGAGGTTTTGCAAAGATAGTTCAACATTATTCAGCTCTCGGGAGGGGAGCTTTGATTCCAACCTACCTGCAAAAGTTCTTCTCTGTAAGTTCTGATTCTGTTTTTCACATAGATTATTAATTTATATTATAATATATATTGTTAATTTGTATTACAATATATATATATTGAAAGAAAATCTATCATTGGCATATATTTGATATATATGCAAATATAAAAAGAACAGTGAGTAATTATTTATTAGAGTGTTGTTTTGCATGGTTTGCTGATTTTCCTTTGTGAAAGGTAAATGGCAAGTGCCATGTGACCCCCGGTTCAGGTCTGGGCCCTACAGGGAAGGGAGGTGGGGGTTAAACTTACTTCAACCCCTGCTTGGTTTGGTAATCAAGACCAGCCTCCCAACTCACATTTACTAGGACTTCAGGAGGAACAGCCCTTCTCTGCGAAGGTGACCAGAACAAAATGGTTGATACAAATGACCGACTTTCAGAGAGATGCTGTCTTCGTAGTGCACAAGCCCAGGAGTTACGCTGAAAAGCCACAGACGCCTCTCTCTTGTTCACGTGGGATGTCTTCCTTGTGTTTCTCCTCCCTTCCAGGCCTGTCCCAGAGCTTCCTGGGAAGTCCACTTTCTTTGCTGGCAATACGGATGAGTTCATTGAGAAGCGGCGGCAGGGTCTTCAGCAGTTCCTGGAGAAGTGAGTGGAAGGCGCCTTTATGACTGATTTTTCTTGGGGGAAATGGGAGGGAAGATGGTATGTGACACCTTCTAGAAAGCAAAGTTGGAAAGCCAAGACTGTTGGGTCCCTCCCAAACCAAGAGTCGTATTCATTACCCACTTGAAGCTCATACACATGAAGATGCAGCTGTCTGTCCAGGCACACCCTGATGAGAACCGTAATCAGGCCCGTTGCCAGGATTTTGTGGCTTGTGGGGCAATTTTTTTTTCCTGGTGGGGCTGAAGTTCTTAGTGCAGAAAGAGAAGCCAGAATTCTGAGTCTTCTCATCTGAGTCTTCTCAAGCTGCTTTTTCTGCATAGGTGCTCTTAACCATTTAGCCAATAGAAAGCTATTGCCAGGATAGTTCTCTAAATTGCAAGCTGTCAACCACTTTAGAGGACAGTTCTCAGCTGCTGCAAGTTAAATCACTTCTGCCTGCCTAAGCAACAACTCTGAGAACAAGCCGGCAGGTGGGGGTGAGGACTTCTGTAGTCGAGAAAGCTAACACTTAGGCAGAAAAATGCTCTTAAAGGAGAACTGTTTCTTGACACACAGTTAGAAGGGATCCTAGAGGTCAACCCCCTTGGATTTGAGTCCCAGTGCAGGAATAAGTCAACTACAGCACCCCACTGTGCTTAAAGGGGCACATGCCTTTAAAAAAATGTTTTAAAATGATCGAAAAAACATGTAGAGGACTTCTTGTGGGGCTGTGCCTTTAAGAAAGGGGGTGGAGCCCCCAAAAGCCCCACTGTAGCTACTGGCCTGACAATAACCAACCCAATGCACGGTTATCCTAGCCTGTTCTTTGCTGATCTTCTGTTGTTGTTGCTTCCCCCCCTGAGATAGGGGCAAAAGTAGACTTGTGAGCAGGCTACGTAAGCTACACCTGGACCTGGACAGCCCGGGCTAACTTGATCTCATCAGATCTTGGAAGCTAAGCAGGGTCGGCCTTGGTCAGTACTGGGATGGGAGACCGCCAAGAAATACCAGGGTTGCTAAGCAGAGGCAGGCAACAAAAAATCACTTCTGCACGTCTCTTGCCTTGAAAACCCCACAGGGTCACCGTAAGTTGGGTGCAATTAGATGCCTCCCCCCGGGAAACTACAGTTTAGGATCTCAAATTGGGGGGGGGGCCCTCTAACTTTAAAAAAAAAACAGAATTATCATGGCATGGGGGGGCACGCTGTGGGGCTTTTTACATGTGACCTTGCTTCGAGCCTCAGCATATCTTAGTCCCGTTTCAGAGAGGAGACGTTTTTGCTTAACATTAAGTTACCATATTTTTTTTCTCCTGCCAGCCCACCAAGAACTTCAGGGTGGTGTATCTGTGGGAGTGGCGGGTGCTATCAGGTGGATTCTCCCAGCCACCATAGAAGGCTGAGGAATTATTGTTTTATTTATTTATTTGATTTGATTTCTAGCCCCCCCCCCCCGAGCAAGGCTTAGGGCTATTATTATTATTAATAATTAATTAAATTTCCATCCCGCCCTCCCAGCCAGGACTGGCTCAGGGTGGCTTACATAAAACAGTATAAGAATTACAATAATATAGATTAAAATTAAGCAACATCAGTTAATACAAATAAACAATGCTAAAACCATAAAACATAATAAAGTGCTAGTATCAATAATTTTACAGCGATGTTGTTACGTGGTTCTCTCATCTCGCAGTCAGCTCCTTGGTCTTCTTCGGTCATCTTAGGCAGTAGGCCTCAGGCTGTCGTTGGAGGCCCCAGGGAAACAGGACTCTCCAACCATAGGCTGTCAGTTGTTACTGTCGGCGGTGGCTCCAAAGGCTTGGCAGAAAAGCTCTTGTGTTACAGTCCCTGTGGAACTGCAAAAGGCCCCACGGGGCCCTGGTCTCTTCCAGGAGCTCATTCCACCAGAGTGGACCCGCCACCGAGAAAGCCCTGGCCCTGGTTGTTGCAAGCCTGGCCTCCTTAAGACTCAGGAGGGGCAGCCGATTCTGGGTCCCTGATCGCAACGCTCTCTGTGGTACATATGGGGAAAGGCGGTTCCTCAGGTATGTAGGTCCCTGGCCATATAGGGCTTTAAAGGTAAGAACCAGCACCTTGAAGCGAATCCGGTATGCTATAGGCATCCAGTGCAATGCTTTAAGCATAGGCTGGATGTGCTCCCGAATAGGGAGTCCCATCAGAAGCCTGGCCGTGGCATTTTGCACCAGCTGCAGCTCCTGGATTTGAGACGAGGGCATTACGGTAGTCCAGTCTTGAGGTGACCATCGCGTGGATCACTGTTGCTAAGTCATTGCGTTTGAGGAAGGGACCCAACTGCCTAATCAGCCGGAGATGAGAAAAGGCTGACTTGGCTGTGGCTGCTACCTGGGCGTCCATTGTTAAGGAGGCGTCTAGGAACACTCCCAGACTCCCAGACTCCTAACCTCCGGCGCTGACACCAGTGGTGCCCATCGAAGGTCGGGAGTGGGATACCTACCCTCGAACTGTTCTGACTCAGGCACAGGACCTCCGTCTTCATCGGATTGAATTTCAGCTGGCTCAGCCTAAGCCAACCAGCCACGGCTTGTAGTGCCCGGTCTAGATCTTCCGGTTTGGAGTAGAGATAGGATGCTGGACTAGATGGACCACTGGTCTGATCCAGCAGGGCTCTTCTTGTGTTCTTGTCAGGGGAAGGCCTTGGCCTCTCTGCCCTGTTGTTGGCCATCCAGAAGACCTGGTTGGCCACTGTATGAGACAGGATGCTGGACTAGACGGACCACTGGTCTGATCCAGCAGGGCTCTTCTTGTGTTCTTATCAGGGGAAGGCCTCGGCCTCTATGCCCTGTTGTTGGCCCTCCAGAAGAACTGGTTGGCAACTGTATGAGACAGGATGCTGGACTAGACGGACCACTGGTCTGATCCAGCAGGGCTCTTCTTGTGTTCTTATCAGGGGAAGGCCTCGGCCTCTATGCCCTGTTGTTGGCCCTCCAGAAGAACTGGTTGGTAACTGTATGAGACAGGATGCTGGACTAGATGGACCGCTGGTTTGATCCAGCAGGGCTCTTCTTGTGCTCTTATGATTCCTGTTCTCCTTGTTCTAGGGTGGTACAAAACGTTGTACTCCTTTCCGACAGCCAGCTGCACCTCTTCCTGCAGAGCCAGCTCTCTGTGCCGGAGATTGAAGCGTGTGTCCAAGGACGGGGCCCCCTGAGCGTCACGGATGCCATCCTCCATTATGCCATGTCAAACTGCGGCTGGGCACAGGAGGAGGACGGGCACTCATCTTTGCTGGCTAGAGGAGATATGGGTGGCAGGTAACTGGCACAAACGCAATTCCCAACTCCCACCCCCCTCTAAGACCCAAGGTTTATCTGTAGGACAAAACCGGGTAAATAATACCCCTCTCCATCCCTAACTTGAGCCTGGCTGGAATGGATATAGTCAATGTTCCCTCAAAGCTGTGGGGTCTTGTGAGCAAAAATTCTACTTTGTGAGCTGCTGGCATTAAAGTTGTGAGTGAGCAATTTGGCTACTGCATAAGTTAGTTTGCTCTGGAGCCACCCTTCCTGAGCTAAGACAAAAATGTGTGAGCCAGAGGCTAAAAAGCTGTGAGCTAGCTCGCACTAACTCAGCTTAGAGGGAACACTGGATATAGTATGTTAAAAAGGATCCCTGACTCAGAGCTGGGCGACCTATTAAGACCAATACAAGAACTCGTGGGCACTCAATGAAATTGCTGAGCAGTCGGGTTAGAACAGATAAAAGGAAGGCCTTCTTCACCCAAAGAGTGATTAAGATGTGGAAATCACTGCTGCAGGAAGCAGTGGCGGCTACAAGCATGGACAGATTCAAGAGGGAATTGGATACACATATGGAGCAGAGGTCCATCAGTGGCTATTAGCCACAAGGCATAGATAGGAACTCTCAGTCTGGGGCAAGTGATGCTCTGTCTTCTTGGTGCTTGGGGGGGGGGCAGTGGGAGGGCTTCTAGTGTCCCAGCCCCACTGATGGACCTCCTGATGGCACCTGGTATTTTTGGCCACTATTTTTGGCCTGATCCAACATTGGCTTCTCTTATGTTCTTATGACCTGGCTAGGCTTTGAGTGACTGTTGCATGGTTGAGTAGGGATTAGTCCCCAGCTCTGCCTGGTCCGAGTCCATACCTGTAATTGCTACACCACACTGGATCTCCACACTTAGGTCTGTCAGTGGTGATTCTTCTCAGGTACGGGACAAGCTGCACAAAGCACTGGATCTAGACCTCATAAACCAGGGGTCCCCAACAGGGTGCCCATGGGCACCATGTTGCCTGCCAGCACTTTTTCTGGTGCCCACCAAGTGTTTTTAGAAAGCGGGTGGGGACAGGTAGGGCTTTTGCCCAGCAAGGCTTCTGACAGCCTACTGTAGATTCAATCGACTGTGCAGATTTTTAACACTGTTGATTTGGAAGCAGCTGCCACCACTGCACAAGGATCTTCACTGTGTAAGGTTGCCAGGTCCTACCTAGCTGCTGGCAGGAGGTTCCAGTCCTCTGTCCAGGATTCTTCAGTGATGTCACCTGGAAGTGACATGATTGCACCGGGCACGTTGTGCAGGGGACACTCTAGCATTTGGGGGGAAACTCTCTGGTCACCATAGAGTTTTTACCCAAGTGCTAGAGCGTCCCCCACCCGACATGCCCAGCGCGATGATGTCAACTCCAGGTGACGGCATTGCGCCAGGGACGTCGGGTACACCAGAGCTCTTTGGGGGTGGGGCTCCCCCTGCTGGCCAGCGGTAGATTGGGGCCCCGAAAGCGGGGGGAGCCCTGCCCTCATTGGGGGGTGGTGGCAACCCTATCACTGTGTGACTGAATGCAAGCTTTAACAGCCATCTTGTGGCTGTAGGGCTGCCATGTCAAATTTTCTCCCCGGCAGGGGGGCATTCCAGAAGGGGGCGTGGCCATCCCTGACATGATGATGTCACACAGAGTGACGCCATCACGCCCTGGATGTAGCTTGCTCCTGTCGCCGCCTTTTCCCAACCATTTAAAGGGAACCTTCCTGGGGGGGGGGGGGGGGAGCGAGAGCCAAGCATGCCTGTCTTGCAAGTGGGGAACTCTCCTCTTGCATGGCAGGAGCCGGCGGCCCCACTTGAAGAGAGGTTGGGGGGGAGGCCGGGTGGTCGGCCTTGGGGGCAGGGCTTCCCCCCGCCCGGCAGTTGGCGGGCCGGCGGGAAGGAGCCCCTCCAAACCTGGCAACCCCCTGCCAAACTGGGGGGTCTGGCAACCTCAGTCGGAGGAGGACACTTGGCTTGGAAACTCCCACCATTTTGTGATTGGCCCCAGTTTCTGTGGTAGCCATTGATTGGCGGAGGCCACTGACTGCTCTCAAAATGCCCAAAGTCCCCACTCCTCCACAAGCAGCTGCTGGCATGACTTTGGGTCTGTTACAGTTCTGTCAGAGCTGTTCTCTCAAGAGCAGTTCTCTCAGAGCTCTCTCAGCCCCTCCTACCTCACAAGGTGTCTGTTGTGGAGAGGGGAATGGAAAGGAGTTTGTAAGCTGCTCTGAGACTCCTTTGGGTAGTGAAGGGCGGGGTATAAATCCAATCTCTTCCCCTTTCTGTCTCCTCCTTCTTCTGGCAGCAGTTGAGGAGTTTAGGGATGTTGACTCCAGGATGGGTTCGAGAAATATACATAAACCCGTTCACTGAATTCTTCTGACTGCATTGTTCTTCTTTTTGCCTTGAAACCTTTTCTCTGCCCAAGCTTTGACAGAGGCAGCCATCTTGCCGGAAGCAGCGCCGAGCCCCTCCCTCATTGGAGTGACATCAGCATGGAAGACAGCCAATTGGAGAGTCCAGATTCTGAAGAAGAGGCATGCCCCTCAGCGGGGTTACTGCAGGCGGGCTCCATGGCATCAGCCGACCGTGTCAAGGAACCGTGAGAGTCCGGAAGAGCCCCTTTGCTTTGCAGTTGGAGTTGCACGTCGACTTGCAGGCTCTTTCTCAGCGGTTGTGTTGCCTGTCAGGCCCTAGAGGGGAGGTGCTGCTGTGTTGGATCTGGCGAGCCGAATGAGCATCTGGCTTGGACCAGCGAGAACACTGGGGGAACTAAAATGAACAGCTGATGCCCAGGGATCCTGGCATCGCTCTGAACGAGATGCAGTCCTCCTGTTTTTCGTCGTTTGAGTCTTCCTGATCAGAGAGCTGGCTTCCTGCAGGAGCTTTCCCAGCTGAGCGCTTCTTTTCCCCACCACAGCAGAGCGATCCCACTGGGCAGGGAAAAAGCTCTGCTTTTGGACTGGGTCACATCCTGTCTCTCTTCTCCCTGCCTTCGTAACTGGTAGGAGACAGCTGGGCTCTGGAGAAAGGTGCAGTCTCATAGGCGTGTTAAATTGCTCGCCTGAGGTCGGACTTCCCTCTGGTACGGAGCCAGAGAGCCCACCTGCTGGCCCCGGGTGCCAAGGCCACATCTGGGTTCCCCTGGTGGAACGGCGTGCCGTTGGGATGAGTGTCCCAGCTCATTAGTGTACGTGATTCTTCTGAAGTCCGATTAAGAAGAACGTACTAACTCGGGAGAAAAGAAGACATTTGATTATTTTGCAGTTGTCTTGCATGCCTGATGCATATCCTGGGGAACCGTCTCTTTCTTAGCTACTTCATTCCCTCGTTGCAGCATTCAACTTGAAAAGGGATTGGGGGGGTTCAAGGAACCCTCCCTAAACTATAGAAGTAAAATTGCCTTCCTTTACACCCCCTGGTAGGTTCACTGACAATCTTGCACAGTTGTCACCACGCAACATCTCCTTATGACTTGCTCACTGTGTTCAACTCCATGTTCTACTTCTGTCCTGAAGGGCAATGCAGGTGTGTGTTGGGGAGGGGCAGTGTAGAGCTGTTGCCCTACTTTTGCCCCTGCTAGTTCAGTATGTTACAAAAAAGGGCTTTGAAAAATACCTGTGCAATCTCCCCCTCCCCGGCCTCATTTAATTAAAAAGGGTAGCAAGTTTCTAGTCCTTGGTATTTGAAGGGGAGACTGAAACGGCAGGTGAATTTTGGCTGGAAGTGGCAGGATTTGTTTGTGATTTTTAAAAAATGGGAACGAACCCTTCCTACTCTAACTAAAAGTGCTGGCTGGATCGCCCTTCGTACCTTTTTTGTCTTCCCCTTGGTTTCAATAAACACAATGCAAGTAATTCTTTGAACTGAATATGATTGTGTTTAGATAAGGAACATGGTGGGGTGGGGAAGAAGAGGAGGAGGAGGAGGAGATTGGATTTATACCCCGCCCTTCACTTGGAGTCTCAGAGAGGCTTACAAACTCCTTTCCCTTCCCCTCCCCACAACAGACACCCTGTGAGGTGGGTGGGGCTGAGAGAACTCTGACACAAACTGCTCTTTTTCGAGAACAGCTCTGGCAGAGCTTGTGACTGACCCAAGGTCACATCAGCAGCTGCAAGTGGAGGAGTGGGGAATCAAACCCGGTTCTCCCAGATGAGAGTCCGCACACTTAACCACTACACCAAACTGGCGTGTATCCCTTCCAATTCACAGTACAGAGTTATTTAGTCATCATAACAATAGCCATGGCAGAATTACAGGGTAGTTTCCAAGGGTAGGCATGGTTGGTCTGTACTAGAATAGTTAGATTTGAGTTCAGTTGCACCTTAGAGACCTTAGATATTTTTGGGGGGATGAGCTTTCAAGAGTCGAAGCTCCCTTCATCAGATCTGACTCTTACAAACTCATGCCCTGAAAGTCTTGTTGGTCCCTAAGGTGCTATTGGACTCGAATCTCTTTGGAGGTTTTCAAGCAGAGGCTAGATGGCCATCTGACAGCCGTGCTGATTCTGTGAACTCAGGCAGATCGTGAGAGGGAGGGCAGGAAGGGTTGCCTCAGTGCTTAGTCCTTGTGGCCCATTCTTACCCGCCCAGGGAAATGCCGGTCACCACTTGGGGTCAGGAAGCAATTTTTCTCCAGGTCAGTTTGGCCAGGGATCCTGGAGATTTTTTGCCATCTTCTGGGTGTGCAAGAGAAGTCACTGTGTGTGTGTTGTGTGTGGGGGAGGTATTTGTGAATTTCCTGCATTGTGCGTGGGTGGGTGGACTAGATGACCCTGGTGGTCCCTTCTAACTCTATGATTCTAACAGAATGACAGGTTTCTAACCTCTTGGTGACATTTCCCTCTTAATGATAATGGTAGATCCATCACGAAACTGAAGGAAGAACCTCTCTAGCATATGGAACTGTTCAGGAGAGACTGAGGTCAGATAATTGCTAAGATGGAGAGAGGGAGATGTTTAGCATAAGGCTTGTCAATAGATGTCCTGTCCCTTTAGATAGAAGAAGAAGAGATTGGATTTATACCTCGCCCTTCACTCGAAGTCTCAGAGCTGCTTACAACCTCCTTTCCTTCCCCCCCCCCTCCCCGCCAGTGTTCCCTCTAAGCTGAGTTAGTGTGAGCTAGCTCACACTTTTTTCGCCTCCAGCTCCCAGATTATTGTCTTAGCTCAGGAAAGATGGCTCCAGAGCAAACTAATTCAGGCAGTAGCCAAAACGCTCGCTCACAACTTTAATGCCAGTAGCTCACAAAGTAGAATCTTTGCTCACAAGACTCCAGAGTTTAGAGGGAACACTGCTCCCTTCCCTTCCCCACAACAGACACCCTGTGAGGTAGGTGGGGCTGAGAGAGCTCTTGAGAGAACTGCTCTTGAGAGAACAGGTCTGACAGAACTATGGCTTGCCCAAGGTCATCCAGCAGCTGCAAGTGGAGGAGTGGGGAATCAAACCCAGTTCTCCCAGATTAGAGTCCGCCCACTACACCAAACTGTCTTTAATGTGTGGAATGTGGTTTAATGTGTAGAAATGGGCAGATGAAGCTTTTCATGTCATGGAAGTAAGTGATATCCCACTAAACCTCTCCTAAGGGGCTGTTGTAAGGTTGCCAGCCTCCAGGTGGTGGCTGGAGACCTCCTGCTATTACAACTGATCTCCAGGCAACAGAGATCAGCTCCCCTGGAGAAAATGACTGCTTTGAAAGGGGAACTCTATGGCATTATACCCCATTGAAGTCTCTCTCCTGCCCAAACCGCACCCTCCTCAGGCACCTCCCCCCCCAAATCCCCAAGTATTTCCCAAGCCGGACCTGGCAACCCTAGGGATGGGGCACTCACCCACTCCTGAACAGTTGGCATCTCTAGCTTAGTACCCTATCTCAAACCTTCCAGGCCTTTGCTTACCCTTCTTTATCTCTCAGTGCCATCTAGGTATGTCCAGTTTCAAAAGCCTTTTCCATCTCATCAATGCCTCTTTGTTAGAGGATGTGTCAAATCAAGTACTGGAAGACTAACATGACTAGCGATTGCACCACAAAGCAGTAGCAGCAGGCCATCCTGGAACAGTGACGGTGGGGTATGAAGGTAATACAGGAGGAAGACCTGAACGTGCAGAAAACAAGTCAGATGACTGTGGCCCTTGGTTTCGTGCTTATGGTTGCCATGGTGTGTGTAGATGTGCTTCCTGGTGGCCACATCCTTCCCCACAAGCAAAGAGCCAATCCTTGCTTTGTTGTGTCTCATAGGAGCAGGAGGTGCTGTAGAAGGGGCATTGCCTTTGTATCTACAGGGAGTGGCCATGCAGGCACAGTGATCTTCTACACAGGAAGGAGCTAGGCTTGTAACCGCCCAATATTTTGTGCCTGGCCTCCATGGCAGCCATTTTGTGGTTGGCTGTGCCACCGCCAGGGCAGCCATTTTGCCCCCAACAAGCTCCACAAGTGTCTAAAGGCTCCTGTAAGCTGTGGAGTCTTGTGAGCAAAAATTCTACTCTGTGAGCTACTGTGAGCGAGCAATTTGACTGCTGCATAAATTAGTTTGCTCTAGAGCCATCCCTCCTGAGCGAAGACAAAAATGTGTGAGTTGGAGGCTAAAAAACTGTGAGCTAGCTCACACTAACTCAGCTTAGAGGGATCACTGAATTTATGTTGATTGCTAGCATAGGAGTCATGAAGAAGAAGAGGAGGAGGAGATTGGACTTCACTACCTGAAGGAGTCTCAGAGCGGTTTACAATCCCTTCCCTTCCCCTCCCCACAACACACACCCTGTGAGGTAGGTGGGGCTGAGATAGCTCCTTTGAGAACTGCTTGTGAGAGAAGCTCTGGATGAACTTGTAACTGACCCAAGGTCACACTAGCTGCTGGATGTGGAGGAGTGGGGAATCAGACTCAGTTCTCTCAAATTAGAGTCCATGCTCCTAGCCACTACAGCAAACTAAAAAAAAAAAGAACCTAGACATATCAAGGATTTGCCTTGTAACTATAAGAGCTGGTATGAAACAGGAACAATATGCTCTCCCCCCCGCCGCCCCTGAAAATGGCTACACTCGGCTGCATTTAATGGCAGTGAGCAGGGGTCATTTTCTGCAGGAGCGCACAGGAGTGGAGCTCCGGCAGTAAAGAGCCCAGGGGGCGGGCACATGCAACAAGCCCCACCCCCTGCTCCCAGCAGCCCTCAGTCAGAGCAAGAAGCAGCCAGGTAAGTTGCAGAGGCCCACCCCCGCCCCCCGGTTCAAATCAGTCCAGTGGCACCTTTAAGACCAAGTTTTGTTCAGGTACAAGCTCTCCCTCCTCTGTGAGGACAGATCTGCACGTTCCCCCCCCCCCAATAGCTAGCAATCCAAAACAGTCCAGTGGAGCCTGGGCGGTGGGTGTTGCCTTCTGACACACTTCCAGTGATGTCAGGGGGTGTGTCATATGCAAATGAGTTATGCTAATATGTTATGCTAATGAGCTCCTGCACCTCTTTTTCTACGAAAGGACCCCTGGCAACAAGGCAAAAGGTATCCATGCCATGCCTGTTTTTTTCCTGTACCAGAATGAACAGTGAGGGGGGGGGGGGGGCTGTAACTGAGCCGAGGGGAAAAGTTAAGCCTTTCTTCTGTTTTTAAGGCCCAAAATCCATGTTGAGTATTCTAATCACTCTGGCTTGGATCCTAGAGACGGGTGCCGTGCATGGCTAGACAGGGTCTAACATGGAATGCCCTTCCTTTTGTGCTGGCCTTCTGTTTGTCCAAGGGCTTATTGAAAACCATTGGTCTTGTACAAACAGAAGTGTTAGCAGCAGCAGCAGCAACTTGCTCTGCAGCCCACACTGTCGACTGTTTACTGAACTCGTCCGCAGGCGCCAACCCAGACACTGCAAGGTCAACTCCGGCCTGCCATTGCTATCTAAGTTAGCTTTCTGTTCAGCCCTTTCATGCAGGAGTTAACGGTACCCTTTGCAAGCAGTGATTAACCTGGTTCCTCCTACCAGGGATGTGGGAAGACATAATGAAATAATGTATAGGAGGTCCTCTGATCAGGGGAGAAAAGTGCTATGGAAACCAGGGGGTCCCTAACCTTGCTGAGTCCGGGGGCACCTTTGGAATTTTAAGAAGATTGGTTTTATACCCCACCCTTCACTACCTGAAGGAGTCTCAGAGCGGCTTACAATCTCCTTTCCCTTCCCCTCACCACAACAGACACCCGGTGAGGTTGGTGGGGCTGAGAGAGCACTTTCGAGGACTGCTCCTGAGAGAACAGCTCTGAAAGAACTTGTAACTGACCCACGGTTGCACCAGCAGCTGCATGTGGGGGAGTGGGAAATCAAACCTCCTTCTCCCAGGTTAGAGTCCGCGCTCCTAACCACTATGCCAAACTGGCACTTAAGTTACTGGAATATCCAGGTCAAGGAGAAACACTGCAGTAGCCGAGGCAGCATAGGACTCTTTGCTGATGGTGGTTATTTCCAGACACTGGAGTGTGGCAACACTGAAGCATCCCTTCTCTCCTTGAAGGCACCCCTAACTTGCAAGCAGCTTTGGGGCTTTCTGCACACCGAAAAGGGATTCAGCCGAGCGGGCAGGTGTAGAGGGTGGGAAAAGACGCCTCTGAAACCCTACGGAGGCAAATTCTCCAAATGTCAAAAGAAGTTCACTTGGAGAAAAAAAAGACGCCCCCCCCCACAACAAACCTCTTTGCACCAGCCAGCTGCTCGCTAATGACAGCTCCGCTGATTGGCTAGGCTGCCTCATGAATATTGATGAGAGTGCAGGATCCAAATGGCGCAGCTGTGCAGCCACCTGCTCTCGCCGGTTCAGCCTCCGAAAGCTTGCAGACAGTTGCTTGGAGCTGTTGGGGCTTTGATT